CCCCCCCAACCCCACGGGAGCCCCCCGGGCTGCCCCTCAGCGCTCCCGGTGCCCCCCGGGTGTCCCCGCTGGGTCGCTCAGGTTTTGGTGCAGAAAGGGCCTCATTACAGCGCCAGGAGTTTCCTGGGAACTAAAAACCAAACCCACGGGAGCGACTTGCTCTGTCCCCGGGGGGGTGGGACACGCAAGGAGGTTTATTCGGCTGCCCTTGCTTGTTCCTGGGGGGTTTGGGTCGTTCCTGGGAGCCGGTTCGTGTTCCCCCGGCAGGTTTGGGGATGAACAGGATCCGGATCCACGTGTTGCCCTCCAGCCGGGGGCGCCTGACGCCGGTGCCGAGGCCGCAGGAGCCTCTGGCTTGTGCCTTCAGCCACAGGCCCTGCTCCCAGCCCCGCCTGGAGGGCCAGGAGTTCTGCATCAAGCACATCCTGGAGGACAGGAGTGCCCCCTTCAAGCAGTGCAGCTACGTCTCCACCAAGAACGGGAGGAGGTGCCCCAACGCTGCCCCCAAGCCTGAGAAGAAGGATGGGTGAGTCCTCCTCCTGCTTCTCCAGTTCTCTGCCCTGGGGAGCTGAAACAGGCAGGAGAAGGTCCTTCTGCTCCAGCTGCTGTACTTGGTGTTGTCCCAGACAGGCAGTTCCCTGTTTCTGGAGCATTTTGAAGCTGTAAAAAGCCTCGGAGGGTGTTGGGAGGCTGTGCAGTCCCCGTGGGGTTGCTGCCATCTGCCATCAGAAGGTGGCTGCAGTGATCCAGGTCCCTCCCCTCAGCTTGTCCCTCTGTGCTCCTGGTTCATCCTCAGCACAGAAACTCTGTCCATGTGTTACTACGTGGAGTCCATGACCTGGTTCTGCTCCTCGATGCAATGATAAACTGATGGGTGGGAGGACCTGGGACAGTTGCTGACACCCAGGGAGCATGGCAGGTTTATCTTAGGGGAGCATCAATCCCCCTTTTTGTTCTCAGAGGGTCTGGGGATGTGGACACTGGAGGTTTGGGCTCTGCCCTTGGCCCCTCTGCCATGAAAAGGCTCCAACCAACGTGGGGTGGCATGGAAAGGGAGCCTGGGGGAGCAGCAGAGCTCAGATTTTGGGGGGCAGCAGCAGAGCTCTCCTTGGTGTCCTCAGGACAAGAAGCTCTTTTCTCTCCCAGCTGCTGCTCCCTGTGGCTGCCAGAGGTGACATCTCAGCCAGAGGTGACATCTCAGCCAGAGGTGACATCTCAGCCAGAGGTGACACCTCAGGGGCACTGGGTGGTCCACAACCCCCCCCCTGGCTCGCTGGCTGGCCCTGCAGGCAGCAGTTCCCTCTTGGGGGAGCAGTGTGTGTGTCCCAGCTGCCAGGGAACATTCCTCCCTGTGTCCCTGGTGGGTTGGGCTGGGTTTGGGGCTGTGACCAGTGTGTCTTTCTCCCCCCAGGGCCTCGTTCTGCACCGAACACGCCCGCAGGAACGCGCTGCAGGCCCAGGTGAAGAAACCCAACCCTGGGCCTGTGAGTGAGACCCTGCTCTGCCAGCTTAGCTCTTATGCCAAGACAGAATTGGGTTCCCAAGCCCTGGAGAGCAGCCGCAGCGAAGCCAGCAGGATCCTGGGTGAGGAAGGGCAGGAAAACTGGGAAGAGAAAACATGGGGCGAGTCCAGAGGAACCATGGAGATGATCCTAGGGCTGGAGCAGCTCTGGAGACAGGCTAGGAGAGCTGGGGTTGAGAGGAGAAGGTTCTAAGGAGACCTTAGAGCAGCTTCCAGTGCCTGAAGGGGCTCCAGGAAAGCTGGGGAGGGACTTGGGACCAGGGTGGGTAGTGAGAGGATGAGGGGGATGGATTAAAACTAGAAGAGGGGAGATGGAGGATGAGGAGGAAATTCTTGGCTGTGAGGGTTGGGAGACCCTGGGCCAGGTTGCCCAGGGAAGTTGTGGCTGCCCCATCCCTGGGGATGTTGAAGGGCAGGTTGGATGGGGCTTGGAGCAGCCTGGGCTGGTGGGAGGTGTCCCTGCCCATGCAGGGGTTGGATCTAGATGGTCTTTAAGGTCCCATCCAACCCAAACCAGTCCATGATTTAGTGTGGAGTGCTGAGACATCACTGAATCATCCCAAGCCCATCATGCCACTAATCCATGTCCTCCAAGTGCCACATCTGCCTGTTTTTTGAACCCCTCCAAGGGTGGTGACTCCAGCACTGCCCTGGGCAGCCTGTTCCAGGGCCTGGTTCAGGAAAGAAACTGTTCCCAAGATCCAGCCTGACCCTTCCCTGGCCCAGCTTGAGGCCATTTCCTCTTGTTCTGTTGTCTGGGAGAAGAGATGACTCCTCCTCCTCACTCCAGCCTCCTTTCAGGGAGTTGCAGAGGCTGAGAATGTCTCCCCTCAGCCTCCCTTTCTCCACCCCCAGCTCCCTCAGCTGCTCCTCAGAAGTTCTCCAGCCCCTTCCCCAGCTCTATTGCCCTTTGTTGCCCTCTTGGCCAGGGGCAGAGCCCCTTCCCCTCCGTGTGCCTGTGGAGCTGAACTCCTGGGGCCTCCAGCTGCCCTGTGCTGGAGCCCAGGGATGTGGGGCAGTGTCCTGTCACTCAGGGTGACCTCTCTTTTCAGACGAGGACAGCTGGAGTGATGGTGAGCAGGACCCTATCACCGTGGAGCAGACGTGGCGAGGGGACCCGGACAGTGAGGCTGACAGCATTGACAGTGACCAGGAGGATCCTCTCAAGTGAGTTGGAGCCTGCTGGTGGTTGCTGGTGGTTGGTTCCAACCCCCTGTGGTGTGCAGAGCACCCTGAGCTCAGTGTGACACCAGGGAGTCCAGTAGAGGTGACAGTATTAATGGTGCAGTTGGACTCTGTGTCGTGGGGAGCTGTGAGTGCTCCCTGAGCCTGGTGGTTCTTCTGGGAGGTGTTGGAAGGTGATCCCCTCACTGGGGAGTGGTCCTTTCAGCAGCAGGCTCTGATCTCTTCATAGAACCATGGACTGGTTTGAGTTGGAGGGATGTTCTAGATCCATCTAGATCCAACCCCTCTGCATGGGCAGGGACACCTCCCACCAGCCCAGGTTGCTCCAAGCTCCATCCAACCTGCCCTTGGTCACTTCCAAGGATGGGGCAGCCACAGCTTCCCTGGGCAACCTATCCCAGGCTCTCCCCACCCTCACATTGAGGAATTTCTTCCTCTTCTGCCTCTGAACTCCAAAAAACCCCCAACCTCAGTGTCCTGCTCCCACCCTGCCCAGCCCGTGGTTCTGGAACATTTGGTGAGACAAGCAGCCCCGAGCGACCCTTGGAAACATCTTCCCTGTGCCCGTGGGGTGTGTTTTTCAGGCATGCTGGTGTCTACACAGCAGAGGAGGTGGCTTTGATCATGAGGGAGAAGCTGATCAGGCTCCAGTCCCTCTACATCGACCAGTTCAAGCGGCTCCAGCACCTCCTGAAGGAGAAGAAGCGGCGGTTCCTGCACAGCCGCAAGGCCGAGCACGAGGCCCTGGGCAAGTCCTGGCCCTGCCACCCCCCCCTGGGCCTCAGGCCCTGCACAGCTCTCCCTTGGAAAAGCAAACCCTGTGATTTTGCCCCTGGTGGAAGCAGATCTTGAGGCAGGGTTGAGTTTGGGGGCTTGTGGGTGGTTCCCATGGGGCAGGGCTGGGTCGGGGCTTGGTTGACAGACCCATCAGTGAGGTGGGTGAGGGGACAGTGTGTCCTCAGCATGTCTGCTGGTGATCCAGAGCTGGCAGGGGTGGGTGACACTCCAGAGGGCTGTGGTTCCATCCAGCAGGACCTGGGCTGGATGGAGAGTTGGGCAGAGAGGAACCTCATGAGATGTTAACAAAAGGTCCTGGCAGAACAACCCCATGGATCAGGATGGGTTAGGGGTGGAAAGCAGCTCTGAGAAGGATCTTGGAGTCCTGGTGGACAATAAATTAAGGAGGAGCCAGCGTTGTGTCCTTGTGGCCAGCAAGGCCAGTGGGATCTTGGGATGCAGTAGGAAGAGAGTGGCCAGTAGGTCGAGGGAGGTTCCTCCTCCCCCTTTATTCTGTCCTAGTGAGGCCACATCTGGAGAACTGTGTTCAATTCCAGGCTCCTCAGTTCAAAAGAGGCAGGGAACTGCTGGATAGAGTCCAGGGGAGGGCAACAGGGGTCACTGGGAGATTGGAGCATCTGTCTTAGAAGGTAAGGTTGGGAGAGCTGGGAGTGACCAGCCTGGAGAGGAGGAGGCTGAGGGGAGACCTTGTTAGTGTCTCTCAGTATCCAAGGGGCAGGTGTCAGGAGGAGGGAGTCAGGCTCTTTTCAGGAGTGCCCAGCAACAGGACAAGGGGCAGTGGGGATGAGCTGGAGCACAGGAAGTTCCCTCTGAACATGAGGGAGAGCTTTCTAGAGAGGGTGTCCAGATCCTGGGACAGGCTGCCCAGGAAATGATGGAGCCTCCTTCTCTGGAGACCTTCAAGTCCCACCTGGATGCAGTTCCTGTGGCATGTGCTCCAGGGGGATCCTGCTTTACTTTAGGGGTGTTGGGACCATATGATCTCAGGAGGTTCCTCCCAACTTCTGTGAGAAATCCCAGAAGGCTGAAGGAGTTTCTGTGGCCTCCTCGTGCCCTGTGACCATCTGGGGTCAGGGAGGTGGTTGGATTTCTTTGCTCTTCAGAGCTTGAAGGGTTGTCAGGAAATGAGGCCACAAAGTTTCATTCTGAGACAGAAGTTCTTTTTTTTTGTTGTTGTTTTTGGTGGTGTTTGGTTTTTTTTTTCCTTTTGGAGGGGATTTCCTGTCTTGGGTTTGATAAACAAAACCAGGGATCAGTCTGGAAGGTCCTGCCTGGATGAGCAGGAGCTGCTTTGGTTGGTTGCTCCTGGGGTGACATGTTCCTCCTCAGCCCTGATACCACGTTCCCTGGGCACTTCTGGGCTTCTCCCTCCTCTGAGGGGCAGGAATTCCTAGTGGAGCAGAGACACAACTGGGTTGTCCAAGGGGCTGCAAGTCTTGGAGTGCAAGGAATTCTTTCCCTGACCCTGGAATAGCTCATCCTGGAAAAAGGCCTCGTGCTCCACAGGCCCAAGTAAAAATAACTGGAATTTTGGTACATACCAATTTTGTGGAACTCTTTTTTAGCAAACCCAGTAATAGCAAAGCAGATCCTCCTCAGCCTGTAATTACAGCTGGGAGAGCTTCCTGGAACCTTCCAGAACTCACCCCAGGAGCAAGTTGAAATGTGACAAACTGCTCCTCCCCTGGGAGGAGGAATCACATTGAAAAGACGTTTTCAAAATCCTCTTGTGTGCCTGGAGAAGTTGGGATGGGTTTTGGGGTGGAATCTGCTTGGTCATCTTCTGGTAGAACTGAAAGAGCATAGAATCATGGGGTGGTTTGAGTTGGAAGGGGCTTTAAAGATCATCTAGATCCAACCCCCCCATGGGCAGGGACACCTCCCAGCAGCCCAGGCTGCTCCAAGCCCCATCCAACCTGCCCTTGGACACCCCCAGGGATGGGGCAGCCACAGCTTCCCTGGGCAACCTGTCCCAGGGTCTCCCCACCCTCCCAGCCAAGAATTACTTCCTAATGTCCAACCTAAACCTCTTCCAGGTTTAATCCATCCCCTCCTTGTCCTCTTGTCCCAAGTTCCTCCCCAGCCTCCCTGTTGGTCCCTGCAGCTCCGGCTGCTCCGTGTCCTGGAGCAGCTGCTGGAGCCCCCAGTGCCTCATTTAGGACTTATAACACCACAAAACCCTGCTGGTGGGTGTTGTTTGCTGACCTTCCCTTCTCTTCCTGCAGGCAGCAGCCTCCTGACGGGCCCAGAGGGGCTGATGTCCAAGGAAAGGGAGAACCTGAAGAGGCTGAAGTGCCTGCGGCGCTACCGGCAGCGCTTCGGCGCGGAGGCGCTTCTGCACCGGCAGCTGCGGGAGCGCAGGGTCCTGGCCACCGAGGGGGCTGCCCAGCAGGTGGGTCCAGCAGCTCCACCAGGGCCTCCCGTGGGAGTTTACAGCCTTGCTAGGAAGCTCAGTGTCTGCTCTCCAATCCCTGCGTGGGAGCTGGGGTTGTGGAGTGGTTGAGGGTGGGAGGGACCTTGAAGATCGTCTGGTTTCAACCCCCCCTGCATGGGCAGGGACACCTCCCACCAGCTCAGGCTGCTCCAGGCCCCATCCAACCTGCCCTTCAACACTGCCAGGGATGGGGCAGCACCTTGAAGATCATCTAGTGGATCATTTGGGTGGTCTTGAAGGTCCCTTCCAACCCAAACCATCTCATAAGCTAAAGGTCATCTAGATCCAACCCCCCTGCATGGGCAGGGACACCTCCCACCAGCTCAGGCTGCTCCAGGCCCCATCCAACCTGCCCTTGGACACCCCCAGGGATGGGGCAGCCACAGCTTTCCTGGACAACCTGTTCCAGCACCTTCCTACCCTCCTGGTGAAGAATTTCTTCCTAATGTCCAACTTCAATCCTCCTCTTCCAGTTTAAGATCATTCCCCCTTGTCCTGTCACTACACACCCTCATCCAAAGCACTGGAAGCTGCTCTAAGGTCTCCTTGGAGCCTTCTCTTCTCCAGGCTGAACACCCCAACTCTCCCAGCCTGGCTCCAGAGCAGAGCTGCTCCAGCCCTTGGATCACCTTCATGGTCCTTCTCAGGACCCTCTGGCCTTGCTGGATTGTCCCCTGTAACACCCTTTCTGCAAGGACCTAAAGCTCTGTGTGGTCTTGGCCAGCACCCTCCATTGGCTGAAGCACTTGGGGGTTCTTTTTCCCTCTGGAAAGGGAGGGCTCAGTCTGAGGTGGCCTGAAGTTCAACCCTGAAAAGAAAATGTGTGGAAACTATTCCTTAGGGTGGTGGAGCCCAGACCCTTCCGGACCCGTGGGGAGGCCAAGGCAGTTCCTCTGCACCACAGGTGGTGCTGGGTTTGAAGTTCTGTGCAGCTTGACTCGTTTTAAAATTCAAAGCCTTCCCTGAAGTGACTCCTGAGAAGTTGAAAGCTGAGTCTGAGAAGCCTCATTCTTGGAGACATTCCTGGGAGGTGGAAGCTCTTCCTGCTGGAATCACGTCCTGCCTCGTTATCCCGCCTTCGGTTTTATTGAAGGACTTAATGAGGAGCCAGGAGGAGGAGGAGCTGGGAGTTGGGTCTTGGCATGTTTTGGAAGCAGGACACCAGTGCTGTGGAGCTGGGTGAGTCTCCAGCTTTTCTCTTGGCCCTGCAGGCTCACACCACCCGCTCCAGCCAGAGGTGTTTGGCCTTTGTGGACGACGTCCGGTGCTCCAACCCTTCCCTCCCCATGACCAGACACTGCCTCACACGTATCCTTTGACCTGCCCCTGTTGCCTGGGGCTGTTTGCTGGTGGGTTGGAGTGTGACTGATCCCCCTTCCTTCTCCTGGGCCCTAAATCAAGGCCAGCGGTTTGTTGGAGCTGTTGGTTTCAAGCAGGAGCCCAGAGGAAACATCTCCCGGTCTGTTGGGTGTTCCCATCCCCATGGAACAGCCAGTTCGTGTGGGAGTGACAAAAACCAGCCCTGCTGGGAGGGATGTTGTGTAGGAAAGGAGGGAGGGGGGTGGGGGTCTGGCTGCTCTGGAACACGTGCTGGGGGATTTTTGGGAAGATCTTGAGTGAGGGAGAAGTTCCTACCTTGCTTGGGGCTGCCCTGGGTCAGCTCAGCCCAAGTGTTGACACGTGTGTGTGAACAGCCTGGAGCTGTTGGACCTCCCAGAACAGCCTCAGCTTTTCGAGGGCCAGGATCTGCAGTGGGATCCCCCCTTGGCTTGGGGATCCCCACCCCAACGTGGCATCCAGTGTTGCCTGGGCTGTCCTGTGGGATGGGGTGGAACGTGGGCAGGAGCAGGTTTGGATCCTGTGGGAGCTGCGTGAGCAGCTGGTGTGAGTCAGGAGAAGCTCCAGGGCTGGTCCCAGAGCAGAGCTGGCAGCCAGGGGGAGGATGAGCTCCTGCTTTTGTTTGCTTTGCTTTGAGCTCTTGGTTTTGTTTGAGCTTCTGCTCTTGTTTTGTTGCTGGGGTTGGCAGAGGCTGGAGCCCAGCTCTGCGCCGGGAGCAGGAAGCTGCCTTTGTTTCCCTCTGGTGAGCATAGACTCCAAAATAAAGACAGGATAAGCTCCTCTCCAAGGTTTGGAGCCCTTTGCAGCTGGTTGGGAGCAGGGCAGGGAGTGGAAAAAGCGAGGGCTGGTTTCCTTGGGCCTGAGCTGCCAGTGACTTTCACTGACACAAACAAGGTTTTACTTGGGTTTAGCTCCGCTGAGCTGGGAACATCTGCTCCCTGCCCAGCCCCCTGCCCAGCTCCCTGCTCCCTGCCCAGCCCCCTGCCCTGCTCCCTGCCCAGCTCCCTGCCTCCTCTGTTTCCTGCTCTGCCCTGTTCCCTGCCTGCCCAGGAAGCTCCCAGGGCTTTGTTTGCTGCTCAGGAGCTGGATTGTGGGATGACAAGGTGTGAAAGGGCCCCAGCCCAGCTGGGCTCCAGGTGGAGCTGGTGGTTCCTGCCAGCTTGGCCAGCCCAGCTTTTGGCTCCTGATGAAGTGGGTGCTGGATCTGGGAGTCGTTCAGGGAGATCAGAACCTGCCCTCCCCACTCTGCTCTTCTTCCAGAGGCACTTTCCTCACCACCTCTGCCCTCAGGAAATCTGGTTTCTCCAGGCTGGGCTCTGGTGTGTTGCTGCCAGCACAGATTCAGCCTGCTGGGAACTCAGCATCATAGAATCCTTGGGGTTGGGAAAGACTTTTAGGATCAAGTCCTACCCCTGCTGAGTCCACCACCAACCATGGTACCTTCTCAGCTGTCTCAGAGCAGGGGAGGAAGCAGGAAAGGATCAATCCAAACCCAGGCAGCTTGAGGAATTGGGTTAAACTTGGTGCCCTTTGCCAGTTCCTGTGGGTTTGCAAGTTCTGGGGGGGTTTCCTTTCCCACACCACCCTGTGTGAAGAGGAAACCATGGTGTGAACCCCCCAGACATGGAGAGCAGGAACCTCCCACCTATGGAAAGCAGCTGTTGGGTGGGTTTGGGATAGAGGGATCTGACCTGAAGGACTTGACCCACATCCAGAATCTCCTGAGGCCCCAGCTCCTGGTTGTCCAGCTGTGGTGGGTCCCTCTGTCCTTCCCTGGGGCTCCTGACAGGGGATGGGATTGCAGCTTCAGGCTCCAGCTGGATCAGGAGCAGCTTCTGTTTGGTGATGAAAGGCAGGAAATCCCATTGACACCTCAAGCAGGAACAGGTTTTTCCTTTGGGAAGGAAAATGCAGCAGGAAGACAGAAATACTGGAACAAACCTCCTGGCTCTGGAGCTCTGGGGCTGCTCCTCTGGGCTGGGGGATCCCCACCCCAACGTGGCATCCAGTGTTGCCTGGGCTGTCCTGTGGGATGGGGTGGAACGTGGGCAGGAGCAGGTTTGGATCCTGTGGGAGCTGCGTGAGCAGCTGGTGTGAGTCAGGAGAAGCTCCAGGGCTGGTCCCAGAGCAGAGCTGGCAGCCAGGGGGAGGATGAGCTCCTGCTTTTGTTTGCTTTGCTTTGAGCTCTTGGTTTTGTTTGAGCTTCTGCTCTTGTTTTGTTGCTGGGGTTGGCAGGGGCTGGAGCCCAGCTCTGCGCCGGGAGCAGGAAGCTGCCTTTGTTTCCCTCTGGTGAGCATAGACTCCAAAATAAAGACAGGATAAGCTCCTCTCCAAGGTTTGGAGCCCTTTGCAGCTGGTTGGGCGCAGGGCAGGGAGTGGAAAAAGCGAGGGCTGGTTTCCTTGGGCCTGAGCTGCCAGTGACTTTCACTGACACAAACAAGGTTTTACTTGGGTTTAGCTCCGCTGAGCTGGGAACATCTGCTCCCTGCCCAGCTCCCTGCTCCCTGCCCAGCCCCCTGCCCAGCTCCCTGCTCCCTGCCCAGCCCCCTGCCCTGCTCCCTGCCCAGCTCCCTGCCTCCTCTGTTTCCTGCTCTGCCCTGTTCCCTGCCTGCCCAGGAAGCTCCCAGGGCTTTGTTTGCTGCTCAGGAGCTGGATTGTGGGATGACAAGGTGTGAAAGGGCCCCAGCCCAGCTGGGCTCCAGGTGGAGCTGGTGGTTCCTGCCAGCTTGGCCAGCCCAGCTTTTGGCTCCTGATGAAGTGGGTGCTGGATCTGGGAGTCGTTCAGGGAGATCAGAACCTGCCCTCCCCACTCTGCTCTTCTTCCAGAGGCACTTTCCTCACCACCTCTGCCCTCAGGAAATCTGGTTTCTCCAGGCTGGGCTCTGGTGTGTTGCTGCCAGCACAGATTCAGCCTGCTGGGAACTCAGCATCATAGAATCCTTGGGGTTGGGAAAGACTTTTAGGATCAAGTCCTACCCCTGCTGAGTCCACCACCAACCATGGTACCTTCTCAGCTGTCTCAGAGCAGGGGAGGAAGCAGGAAAGGATCAATCCAAACCCAGGCAGCTTGAGGAATTGGGTTAAACTTGGTGCCCTTTGCCAGTTCCTGTGGGTTTGCAAGTTCTGGGGGGGTTTCCTTTCCCACACCACCCTGTGTGAAGAGCAAACCATGGTGTGAACCCCCCAGACATGGAGAGCAGGAACCTCCCACCTATGGAAAGCAGCTGTTGGGTGGGTTTGGGATAGAGGGATCTGACCTGAAGGACTTGACCCACATCCAGAATCTCCTGAGGCCCCAGCTCCTGGTTGTCCAGCTGTGGTGGGTCCCTCTGTCCTTCCCTGGGGCTCCTGACAGGGGATGGGATTGCAGCTTCAGGCTCCAGCTGGATCAGGAGCAGCTTCTGTTTGGTGATGAAAGGCAGGAAATCCCATTGACACCTCAAGCAGGAACAGGTTTTTCCTTTGGGAAGGAAAATGCAGCAGGAAGACAGAAATACTGGAACAAACCTCCTGGCTCTGGAGCTCTGGGGCTGCTCCTCTGGGCTGCCCAGGCCTTTGCAGGCTCCTTTGCCACCAATTTCTGCCCAAAAGGGCAAAGCCCTGAGCTTCATAACTTCCATCTCAGGGTCTGTGAGGGCTTTACTGGGATCCTGCCCCATTTCCCAGCCCCCACTGGGAGCCTGTTGCTGTTGTCATAGACCCATGGAATCATTTGGCTTGGAAAAGACCTTTTGGAGTCCAACCCAGCCCTGGCCAGGGTGGTCCCTCAGCACCATCTCCAGGGCTTGGAAACCCCTCCAGGGATGAGGGCTCATGGAGAAATTGTTCCAAATATCCCATCTAAACCTGCCCTGGGCAATTTGGGGCTGTTTCCTCTTGTCCCCTGGGAGCAGAGCCCGACTCCCCCTGGCTCCAGCCTCCTCTCAGGCAGTTGCAGAGCCACGAGGTCTCCCCTCAGCCTCCTTTGCTCCAGGCTGGACACCCCCAGCTCCCTCAGCTGCTCAAAATTAGGCCCTTTTAAAACCCAAGGATTCAAAAAGAGTGTTTTCCAGCGTGGAAACATCATCACCCACTGGATCCTTGGGATGTGGTGCTGAAATTGGGACCCTTGACCTGGGAAAAATGTGTGTGTGTGGGGGTGATTGCTGCTGCTTGCAGGAGGGGGGAGCACTTGTGGGTTCTGGGGTGTGGGGGTGTGTGTTTCTGACCCCCATCCTGCCATGCAGGTTTTCCCTTGACCTCCTCTCCCCAGACATCTGCCAGGACACTAACCAGACCCTGTTTAAACCCTGCCAGGGCTCTGAGGAAGTTCCCTGCAACAAACCAGTCCCTGTCAGCCTGGCTGAGGAGCCCTGTTGCCCCCTCCACCTCCGCCTGCCCCCCCAGATGTACGTCCCTGAGCAGGTCCTGCCTGGCCCAGAGGAGCTGGAAGCTGCTCCCACCGACCTGTACCTGAGTGCTGCTGAACTGCAGCCCACTGAGAGCCTGCCCCTGGAGTTCAGTGATGTAAGTCCCTGATAGGGCCACTCCTGGAGCCCCCAACGTCAGGAGGATGTGGAGAAAGTCCAGAGGAGGCTACGGAGATGCTGGGAGGGCTGGAGCAGCTCTGGAGCCAGGCTGGGAGAGTTGGGGTGTCCAGCCTGGAGAAGAGAAGGCTCCAGGGAGACCTTAGAGCAGCTTCCAGTGCCTGAAGGGGCTCCAGGAAAGCTGGGGAGGGACTTGGGCCAAGGGCAGGAGGGATGGGGTGAGGGGGAAGGGCTTGAAACGCAGTGGGGAGCTGGAGGTTGGAGCTGAGGAGGAACTTGTTGGCTGGGAGGGTGGGGAGAGCCTGGGCCAGGGAAGCTGTGGCTGCCCCATCCCTGGGGGTGTTGAAGGGCAGGTTGGCTGGGGCTTGGAGCAGCCTGGGCTGGTGGGAGGTGTCCCTGCCCATGCAGGGGGTGGGATCTAGATGGTCTTTAGCTCATGGGATGGTTTGGGTTGGAAGGGACCTTCAAGACCACCCAGATGATCCCACCAGATGATCTTCAAGGTGCTGCTCCATCCCTGGCACTGTTGAAGGATCTAATATGGGGCAACCTGGAGCTGGAGGGAGGTGTCCCTGCCCATGCAGGGGGTTGGATCCAGATGACCTTGAAGGTCCCTTCCAACCCATTCTCCCAAACCAGAGCCAGGCACTTCCAGCCATGGTTTCCTGCAGAAGTTGCCCTGATTCCTTCAGTTCTCTCAACCTGCCATGAAATCCCCCTGAAACCCTCAGGGCTGGGGGTGCAGCCCAGCTGCTCTCCCTGGGGAATGGCTGTGGACACCAAGGGAAAAGCCCCAGATCATGCAGATTTATTGCTACTCTGGGGGGGAGGAAGAGCCTCTTGAAAAACAGGGCAGGAACGTGGAAGGTTTGGGAGAACCAGTGGGGCTCCTTTGGAAGGGCTTTGTTCTTGAAATCCCTATTCAGGGGCTTTTGGAAAAGAGGTTGGTTGGTTTTTCCCCCTGCCCCACTTTTCCCTCTCATGAGGGATCCCTGAGGATTTTAATCCCCAGATTATTCTGGTCTCCTGGCTGGATGTTCAACCCCCATGGTTAAAATCCTCTGAAATCTGTTTGACACCAAAACCCACCGTGGTCACTTGTTCCTCTGGACCAGGCATCACTTGCTTTAGTTTTTGGATGCTCCTGAGGTTCTTCAGTGCTGCTTTTGGGGGCAAATCGGGTGGTTTTTTTCTTAAAAAAAGAGGAGTTTGGTGCTGGAGGGGGTTGGGAGGTTCCCCTGCCCGTGGCGGGTCCTGGGGCAGGTCCCAGCCCTGCTGCCCACGGGAGCCACTCTGAGAGCAGCTCTTGTGGGAGGTGGGGATTTTTCCAGGTTAGAAATGAAAGTTTCTCTCCCAGCTTGTCCTTCGGGAGGGTCTCCTGCTCCGGAAGGATCTCGGGGTGCTTTGGAAGGAAGGGGGTGCCCTGGAGCTCTGACCTCTGCTCCCAGGACTCCGGAGCAGGGGCAGCTCTTTGGGGCAGCTGTTTTCTCTCGTGTCAGTGTCACCCCTGAGTCACAGCCACCTCCCCCTCCCTGTGACACCCCCACCAAAGCCAGAACAACCCCCGGGGATGCAGCAGGGCTGGGTGGGAACCCCAACCTGGCCACGTTACCCGTGGAGCAGCCAGAGGAGCAACCCTGGGTCTGTCTCCTCCAGTACCTCGTGTCAGGGCAGAGACTTGTGTGACATCCTGGGAGAGGGGTGACTGCTCCAAGGAGAGCAGGGTCAGACCCTTCCCCACCCCTCCTGGCTGCCTCGGGGATGCTGTGGGCTCAGGGTGTGGATTCCTCCTCCTGCTCAGCCCCTCCCGGTGTTTTCTCTCCTAGGACCTGGACGTGGTGGGGGATGGGCTGCAGTGTCCCCCATCCCCTCTGCTCTTCGACCCTTCCGTGGCCCTTGATCAGTCCCTCAGGGACGTTGCTGAAGCCCCCATAGACATCCTGGCCCTGGAGGACCCTCCCCAACCTGCCCTCCCCCCGCAGCCG